AACTGGGCCTAGGAGATCTAAACGGGCAGTTTATTTGGGCAGGTTCGGCATGGGCGGTGCACCTACGCAGCGCTTCTCTGAACATAACTGTGCTCGTGGCATTCATGCTCCATTGTCTCTTAAACGGCTTCAGCACAAACTACAAGAAATTAAGCACACAGCCTTTAATATGAGCCCCTGGATTTTACTAAGGTACTTCACGGCCAGAATCTGCTGCCTCTCTCCATCACTGACCTTCTAAATTGGGCTCCTTCCTCTGGACCCACTCTATGTCATTTCTGAAAGACACAGCAGCAAAGACATTGTAGCATGGTGGTTAGGAATCCACATTTTAGAATCAAACGGCTCCCACTTCAAAACCCATCTCTGCCACTGACTAAGAAGGCGACTTTGGGAAAGCTACTCAGTTCCTATTAAATTTCCACCTGTGTAAAATAGACATGATAGTACCCATGGCACACGATTATTTTGAAGATTAAATAATATATGTATATGTATAATAAATGATTCTCCTTGTGTTGAGTAAACTACAATAGATAAAATATTAAAGTATATAGTTGAAGACATAGAGTGTCTGAGGTAATATATTTCTCTGGAAAGTGACTCAACCATTCCAAGTTATTTAAAACCCATTCCTAAAATCATACTAAAGTTGTTTTCCATATATCCTTATTCAAATACCTAACCTTTGTTGGGTGATACTTCCCTCAGATGGCCAACACCTTGAGGGGTTCCTGAATGTGACCCTCTGACACTCTTCTCACAGGCACATACACCCGTTCCCAGGCCATGTACAAGTTAATTGAGTTAGGCTCTGTTTGACACTGCCCTACATGTAAGATATTTCACAACTAAAGCTCAAAGAGAATGCCCAAGGAATCAATTTTAAAAATTGAAAATAGATTTATTGTGTTTAGTTGAAGAGATGGCTTGCAGTATGGCTCTTGCGACAGTCCTCTAGGGAGGAGCAGATTTGGGAATACTTAACCATCCAAATAGTGGCATACAGGACTCCGAGGAAGTATTCCTCCCCCAAGCAGCACCGACTGTGGTGTGTTTCCTTTCAGTTATTGTGACAATCAACTGCATACCAATTATAATTTGGAATTTGTAAACAGCCAGAAGATTCCCTTGGAGAGAGCAATTATATTCCCTTTAACATACTATAGAGCAAACACTTTCTCTTAAACATGCTGTGTGCTGAGTACAAAGTAGATTTACTTTACTGATGCTAAGGGAAAACCTTCAGAACCAAGGCAAGGGATCTTGGTGGGACAGAGACATGAGAGGGCCGATGAAAGAGCAGAGAACATAAAAAATGCCATGGAATATTATCGATCAGGGGCAGCACTGACTTGGCCCATTCAAATAACCACGCATGGTGAGATGTTAAGAGCATCAATTTGGAGTTGGTTTTGTATCTATCTCACCACGAACATTGCATTCCCTTGAGCATGATAATTCACCATGTTAAGGCTCGCTTTCCTTTTCTGAAAAGTGGGGAGAATAGTGCTTACCTAATAAGGTTATCCTAAAAATCAAATTGCAAAACATACCTAAAGTGTCTAGAATAGTAGACACCCCAAAACAATATCACATATCAGATGTTATCACTGCTGAGCCCCTACCCCCTTGGGACTCACCATTCCCTGGACAGGTAATGGCTTCCTACGGAGAAGGTCTGCAGTTACCTGCCTGGGGAGTCTCTCAGCCCAGGTACATGGGGCAGGAAGAAAGTGCCAGGGAGTTAACATGTCCAGGAACAGACCTTAGCCTGGAACATTTAGCGGTGAATATCCGTTTTCTCATTCCCTGAGCAGGACAATTCCCCGAGGCTTGCTTACCCTGCCTCCCAGGGGTCTCCTGTGTGTTTGAGCCCCATTTGCCCCTGCAGGAACCTGCTCATTAGTGCTCCTGCATTGGCTTCTATCACGTCCCTGTCTCACTGTCTTACTTCCTGACGGGAGCTTCCTGGGATTACCTCCAGAATAAACCATCGGCGCTCAAAAATCTTGTTTCAGAATAAAGTCCAATCTAACCCTATACTCACGATGCAAAGTGGCTTAATAATTTGGACAGTTGGGTTTACAGTAAAATGTTCAATTCACTCACCAAGCCTTGTCTGTTCAGCTTCCTTTCCACCCCTTGTCTTCCATCCCACAGCCATTGCCTCAGCTGAGGCGCTTCTCACTAACTCATTTCTTCTGCCCTAAGTCTCTGAATGAGCTCCATGCTTCCAGTACCTCTGACGTCTAATCCATCACCCACATACTGCCAGAGTCATCATCCTGAAATGCAGTTTTGGTAATGCCATTCCCTTGCTATTGTTTTTTTTTAAGACTTCAGCGGCGTGCATTGCCTCCACGATTATGTGATAAATTGTATAGCATGGTATGCAAAGACTGTCCAAAGCTGATGTCACTCATATGTGAAATCTAATGAACAAAATAAACTGATGAACAAAATAGATACAGAGATATAGAACCATGGAGCAGCCAGACGAATTTCAGAGGGAAGGTGGGGTTGGGGGGCAAAGGGGGGAGAAATTAATCAAAGAACTTAGATGCATGTTTGTATGACCTATGGACACGGACAATAGTGTGGAGAAGGCCTGGGGTGGGGGGCGGGGATGGATGCAAGGTGGAGGGGATCAATGAGGGGAAAAGGGGGGCATCTGTAATACTTTCAACAATAAAGATAAATTTTTTTTAAAAAAAAAGCTGGTTCCTAACAACCTTTCAGCTTTATCTCTAGTGATCGATAAACACAGCCGATGCTCAGCCCACACAGAAAAAGCCAGTGTTGTCTCAAAGCCCTGTTGCCTGCCACCTTTTGATGTGCTTGAATGTGCACGTGATCTTCCCTGTCTGAAGAACCAGGGCCCATCCTTCGTGGCCTGGCTCAAATGCCCCCTCCTCCACGAAGACTTCTCCATTCCCTGGGTAAGTCAGTGGTTTCCTCCTCCAGGCTCCCGCTGTAGCATCTGCACTCACTGAGTCATTCGTTCACTCAACAAGCATTTTCTGAGCATATTCTACTTTAAACCAATCATGTGCAAAGTTTCGGGGAAACCATGCTGGATAAAAAGCAGAAAATGCATGAAGATCGCACTTGGGAAAAGGAAACAGACGTTATCGGGAAATCGCACAAAAGTTTGTCACACACGCAGTGGGTTTACCATAAAGGATGCCGACCTGACCTGGGGGTTGGCGAGCCTTCTGCAAGGAATGGACACTTGAGTTGAGAGTGAAGTAGGAGTTATCACCAGATGAAGGGCATGGGCCACAGGTTCCAAGCCTGGGTACAACAGGAGGTAGGAGGGGACACAGTACTCTTTGAGGATAGAAGGCCAAGGTGTTTAAAGCAAAGAAGCACGTGGAAAATGGAGAGAGAAGAGGCACTTATACCATTCATTCTGTGTGTCTTTTTGGGGGCTGTGTCATACCTGACTCATGCTCCCAGAATGAGGTCCTCAAAAGTAAGAACCACGCCCTGGCTGGTGTGGCTCGGTGGTTAGAACATAGGCTGGCGTGTGGAAGGGTCGCAGGTTTCATCCCCAGCATGTAGCTGGGGTTGCAGGTTCCATCCCCAGCCCAGTCAGGGTGCCTGCGCAGGAGGCAACCAATCAATGATATGTCTCTCTCACACCTCTCTCTCCCCACCCCACCACTCTCTAAAAATCAACGGAAAAAATATCCTCCCTTGAGGATCAACAACAACAAAGGTCAGAGCCACATATCACTAAAAGTCATACCCACCCCAACCCTTAGCACAATGCAAATAAGCAAAATTAATGTATCCACTTGCTGGATGAGAGAGCTGAGGCTCAGGAAGGTAGAAGGAGCCGCCCAACATCCCAAGGCTGGCAGTGGCTACACAGTAACTAGAATACACACCGACCAGTCCTCAACTATATCTTTTTCAAACGGGCGCAAGGCAACCCCCCAAGTTTTTATCATGGAAACTCAAGTTTTTCTAGCATTCCTTTTTCTAAGGGTTCTATAACAAAAATAAATCATAAAGCCAGTTACTGGTGTGTGTGTGTG